ATGAAAGATACACGGACCCATCACTTTCTAGCATGTTAGAACATACTATAGAAGACTACATTTAGGGACGATCACAGTAGAAAAGGTTTATGTGTTTACACACATTTAAAACAGTTAAATTGACTCTTCTGATAACTCACAGATATTGGAAAGTATTATCCAGTGAAGAATAAAAGTCATATATCAGAGGCTCCAAAATAGTATCACAGATCTAATTTGATTTCTAAATATTATTTTATATTGATAGGTTCTATCACATACATGCTTAGTGACATCCAACTCCAAAATACTCTTCTTACAGCACTCATATTGACAGGCTAGAAACATCTTTCATTAAATTGGGAACGTGTGGGTTAACTCCAACACTACTGCCACACTCAATGACAGCATTTTCAAAAACTCCAGTGAGACAAAAATTAATTGCCACAGTCCCTGCTCCCCTGGGGAATGGGGGTGCCTCTTACGTGAGTTTCCTATGGAAGCTGTAAGGTTAGGGCACAAGCATACAGTCCACTGTCAGTGATCATCCATCTTCTGCCAAAGAAGACACAAGTGAAAACAAAACCTATCAAGCTGCCAGTGTCATGTGAAAAGCCACTGGTTTTTAATAAAACATTGTAGTAAGAGTTCATTATTACATATAGATTATAAATTTTTTCAGCTTTTTTCCTTTTTCAGATTATCCATAGGCCACATTAGTTAATATTCCTTTTTTGTTCCTTTTATATCCAATTATGAGAACACAGCACTTAAGAAATTTTACTGATAGCCTGACCCCCTAAACAACGTGCACTCCCTTGCCTTTTAATCCCAGAATTACCATTAGCTCCCTTCTGATGAAGCAAGAATTGATTAAGCTGGGCTTTTAGTTGGACACTGAAAGCTGAGGTAGGTGGACTGTCATGATCAAGTACTTAGAAAGCTTTAATTTCATTCCCAATGTCATTCCAACATACTGATAAAAAATTGAAATGTTTCATAAATGAGGTAGCCTTTTATATTATTTTATATCTGTCAAAAAAAAAATAGTACCATGGGGGGTTTCCTTGAATGTATAAGAGGTCAAGATGATCAGTGTTCACTATTTAAAAATTAATAATTTAAATAGGACAAGCTAAGTAAGCTAGTATGTCCCAAAAGTTTCAGGGTTTCTTGGAGTGATTCAAAGATGTGGCGATGAATTGTTTCATGGGTCTTTATTGTCTCAGGAGTCATCTGATAAAGTCCATATTTATGGTAGTTCAGTAACTATGGTTCTAAGTTGTATGCAGATTTCACATTTAGCTGTGGGCATTTGGCCCTTTATTCTTGAGATTTGTGACCTATCACTCTACAGTGTATTTATAAAACAAAGCATTAGTCTCTGCCAACAAATAAAATGATAAACATGGCCGTAGTTATGACATAGTGAGCCAAGGAGCTGTCTACTGTTGCTCTCCACTTTGTTATTTGCCCTTGGACCCATTCTCAAACTCAGCTCTAGATGGTCTTTTTATTTCTCTTACACCAAATCATCAACAAAAATCAGTGAGTATAGTATGAGCAGAATTAGCGATTATCAGTAGAGTAGCAAGCCTTCCTTCTACGGTGTGTTCTTATTCCACACACCACATCACCATTATCAATGTCAGAGTGTTCTTTTGTTTTAATAACAAGGGAAAAGGTTTGTGTTTTTAAGAGTTAATTAAACTATTATGGATGATGCATTTTTCTAGCCAAGACACCACTTGTTTTTCAAATTAAAAAAGAATATAGATGTAAAAAGAAAGTAATCATGTTTTACTTCCTTCTCCTTTGCACACATTGGAAAAAGCAACAATCTTTAACCTAATACAAAAATTGCTCCTTAATGTTTATGCCAGCAACGAGGAAGTTTTCAGAGTTAGACATTCCCTAAAGAGTTTTAAATATTTATTTAAATTGTTTAAATATTTAAAAATTAGAGCTAATTAGCTTATACTTTCCACTTGTATTTCTAGATTCTGGGAATTTAACACCATTCACCGTTAAGTGTCACCCAGCCTAAGGGAGGTTCATTAGGAACTGCATCTGGGAGGCCCACTACCTTCCAAGTATCCTCCAGGATGTGCCCTCAGGACTAAGATTTTGCGAAACTTGAATGGAACATGAAAGAGTAAAAAATTATGCTCTCTGAAAATATTTATGCTAAGAACGTGACAACCTTTCCTCTCAAAGCATTTACCTTAAATGTTTAGTTTTATATGTTAGCACAAAAGATGCCAATTATATGAAACTTATTACTTCCCCTCCTAAATTCTAATCACATAATTAAAAAAAATTTCAATGTGGACCATTAGAACTAGAAGCTGAAAGCTGAGAGCAAGCCCTTCTCCACGTTACCCACGAAATTGGATGGGGTTCCATCCTCTGAAACCACAGGGACCAGTAAGTAGTGCAGCTAAGCAACCCGTGGAACTCAGCAAGGATGTCAATGGACTCCTCAGCAGGCTTTTGAAGGACAGGGGGAAGTAAAGGGAAAAAGAATGATAAGGATAAAGATAGATGAAAAGAGTAAGAAAAAAGAGGCATGTGAAAGGGCGTGAGAGTACACCACCAAGAACTCAAAGCCACTCCATGCTTTGGTTGCCTACCCCTAATCTCCTACCACATTTTCTATTCAGTTTTCTATTGATTTAACCTCAAAAGTCGTCTGGACATAGGACAGTTTACAAATAACAATGGTACAAATTAAAATATTCCTAAGTGCAATGAAAAGGATTACACTTACCAGAAGTAAACAGACGTTTACTTTACAACTAAGTGTACATTTAAAAGTGTGGGAAGTTGAAAGTAATAGTGGTAAAAGTTTCTCCACATTTGGGCAGAACCCATGGGACTGTCGGCAAACAAGCATAAACATAATATATGGATCGTGAAATGCAAATGAAGTCAATTCTATTTATGAATAGAATTTGAAGCTTAATGCAAGCACTACGCAATTTTCAGTGGAAATTAGAAGTACTGTAATAAGTCTGTAGACTAAGCATTGCAACTGTGATCAAAGAGATTTATAAATTTTGAATAAAGTATCAGTAATCTGCGTAGTTTATTATTACCGAAATGGAGGGATCCCAACAATATCCACTGCAATTAAATTTAACCAAAATGTTTCTGGAAGATCCCTGGGCATCTGTTACAATAGTGTCTGATCCAGTTTCTGTAAAGAGGAATAACTGCTCCCCTTCTTATGTTGTTCTTGGCCTCAAAAGCCAGAACATTTTGAATTTGAGAATTTGCTGAGTCCTATCAGAATTAAAATGATGGGATAGAAAGCAGACTTCTGACTCTATTCTTTTCCTCTCAAAAAAGTATCTGTACTGAACAAAAAAATTTAGGCCCATCAGGTCACTTTATTGCAACAGTAACACTCTGTTCAGAAATTAGAAAGGATTTACTTTGAAAGATTAAAGTAATATTTCTTGATCTAAAACACAAATCTTTGTAAATATTAGTATTTTTCACTTTCTTAGTTTGTAGAACTTTTAGAACGTTAGACTTAAAACTTTTAGAACTTTTTGTACCAAACAATATATTATTAAATATGCATTTTATGGAAGTTAGCACCTTACCTTTTCTACTTTTTCTTTTTAACTTCACTATTACAGCACAGCACTCTTCATAAGAGTCTATTATAATGGAGCTTTTTCAGTCTTATAGATCCTGTTTGATTCATTCCATTAGACTGAAAACTATACATGTGTAATATCATACACAAACACAATATTCTGAGATCTAAGTTTTATTATAAATACTTAAGTCACTTTCCTCTTTTATTACAGAAACTAACCAAGCAAGATCAAGTCTTTTGAGTTTCAAATTATTACCTATTTTTTTCCCTAAAATTTGCCAAATTTTGAAAGGAAAAACATTTTGGAGGTCTTTACAGAGTAAATTTTGTATTTTAGAATTAAAAAATAAACACTTTATAATGGCAGGGTTGATGATTGGTCTTAGCTGTACATTTTTGTTGATCTCAAAAGCACTGATAATAATGAGGAAATAGTGTTTCATATAACTGGGCATGAATAAATGAAGACCCTGATAGTGTATTATATTATCATTTCTAAGTCATGTTCTAAAAGCTTAACGTAAGAACATGAAAGGGCAGTATGGTCAAAATGTAGTGTATGTGTGTGTTTTTTTTAATGCAACAGAACCTTCCAAAAAACAAATAACCTAAGTCCCCTGAATATGAAATGTGGAAGTATTGGAAGCAGTGAGTTGCAGCTACGTGTATGGCACAGTAAGTTGCTGAATGTCTTTGCAATCAAAGTTATTTAAAATCCGATTAAAAATAAATTCTACATTTAGCATTTACACATTGAACTTGCAAGGTTGCAGATAAGAAGCTGATACTGAAAGGAAAAGTTATTAGGTTTTCTAGCCGTTTAATTAGCAGCCTCACGTCCCTCCAGCCGGCTGCGTGCTGCTCCCCCTCCCCATCAACAACTACAAATCCATATGCTTTCCAGGTACCTCCATCCTCAGCTAGAGACAAGGAATGGAGGGGCTTTGCCTTTTAGAAATGATAGAAGCTGAAAAGAAAAGTAGGGAGATAATTAAGTTTCTATGCTTACAGAGAATTTGGAAACAGATGGATCCTAGAGGTGCTTTAGAAAAACATAGCATTCTTCTTCCTAGGTGAACAAGCTACATTTGAGGAAGATCTAATATACATCTATATTTAGAATTTAAATATATTTTGCATATTAACTTTTAAAGAAATAAAAATGTACTAAATAAAACAAAAATGCACTAAAGTATAATTTCAAGGATGAAGAAAGTGTTCCTATTTTTCTTAGATGAGCAAGCATCATGGCATGACTTTGGTTTTCATTTTAGGTCCTTAAAACTCCAATAGCTTTCTTACAATTGTCTGTGTATAAACAGAAAAACTGCCGGGAATGTGAATGGGGAGCACGCTAGGATAAATACATATGAATGCAAATTTTTGTCAGAAAGTTTTGGAAATGTAGTTGTTTCTCTTTATAAGTAATTTTAACCTTTCAAGACCCATTAATTTCATAAACCAATTTGAGCAATTGTTTCTATCAGAAATAGATATTTTCTTCATGAATACGAAGACTTCTTTTTCCCCCATTCATGCCTGAAACCACAACTTTATAACATGCTCAATAAGACTTTGTTTAAATATCAGGTCCTAGTCTAACAAATACAGAAGCCAGAAAAATTCTATGTTAAAATTGCCAGAATATCTTTCATTCATTGTATTTTACTGTATTGTTACAATTTAAACAAATTCAGAAATTTGGGGGGTTTCTGGCTACTTGAGTAAGATGCACTGCAAACCCATAGGGAACAAACGTAAATGGAAGAAATGCCCGATTCCTGAACTGCTCTGCTCTTATGAACAGGATCCTTTTCATTCCACATACTTGTTCTGAATACATTGTTAGCATCTGCTCCAGGGCAGTCTCCTGAGACTGGAGCAAGTCAGAATAACTTAATTTCATAGCTTATTTAACAGCAGACAAGCAACTTGAACAAAGACTTGAGGTTTACCGACATTATCTAGAATCCAGGCTTAAATTTTGTAAAAAGTTTCCAAATAGCAGAAGAAACTAAAACAGAGATACCAGAACTAAAAACGCCATGTGAGATGACCAACAATATTTCCAGTCCTAACCAAACTGTAACCCTTTCAGTATAGCTTGAGGTATTTTAAAATATTTGTACAAGCTAAATAGCATTCAGTTTCTAGAGCTGCTTTTTACTGAGATAGCTTCAAATTTTCACAATATTTGACTTTCAGACATGTTTTCATGTACCCAAGTCTCTGCCCTCAGACTCATGGAAATAATGGAACAGCTATTCAGTGGCAGAAAATAGTTCTTGTAGTAATAAGGGTTCTACTTCCCAATTATTGTGCTATTCTCAGGATGTGATTAAAAAGTAAGAAATTTGCAATTCATATAAAAGGAAAAATTGCTTAAAATTCTGAAATCAAATCCAGTCTGTTGGAGGTATATAAGACATTAAATAACAGAGTCAGATTCTTTCTTAAGGATTCCAGATGAGTTGGACAGCAGAGAGTTCTGGTTCTCCAACATTGTCTCCATTTTTTCTCCTCCAGTGGTTTTATCGGTCTCTCTTTGCTTCTTACTGTGGATCCATGGGATAAAACAAAGGATGGCACTTCCAATGAGGGGAGGGATTCCAGCGAGGTAGAATGCCACATCATAGGAGCCCAGCTCGTCACGAAGTAACCCTGGGGAGGGAAAAAACTGTCACCAGGAGAGAACAAGTGTGGCTCTTAAGGGTCTCAGATCAGTCACACTAACGGCCTAGTCCCAACCTAATAACTTCATCTCAGCAGGACTAGTTCAAACAACATCTCAGATGTCAGAATTTTTTAGGAAATGGATCTGAAATACAAGCCTTTTCTGATATGAGGAAGGAAAAGATCTCATATCTTTAATCTTGTCACAGACTACAGGCTTCTGGGTTTTCACACCAAGATATTACATGGAAAAAATATTTTCAACCAAGCTTTGGCTTTCTCAAAACCCTTCAGGGGCCATTGGGGTATTCTGACACAGCGTGTAAAGGTTCTTATTTCAGCTGATGGTGGACAGACCACCAGCTGAAGCTTCTCTCATCCACACATACCTCAGAACATCTACATTTCAAACCTTTCTTGGGCCTATTTGTTTATGAAATAACACGCAACTATTTAAAATTATAATCCAAAAATCATGAAAAATTATAAATCTAAGAGTCAGAATGAAAAGTTAGGTTGTTAAATACATTTGGGAAAGATAGTAAGGCTTGTCAGCACTTGGCAGGAAAATGTAAGACTACATGTGTGGCACTCTAATAGATCCTTGGGCTCTGCTTCTGAAAATGGTTATTTGGAGTACTTCTTACTTCTAATTTCTCTAACAAAATCCAGATTTTAAAAGTTATCTTAGTGTTTTTAAACTTTCACTATACAACATTTCAGTTACTATACAGTATTTCAGTTATCTGAAATGTCCAGGGAACACAATGTACTGAATATCTGACTCTGATGAATAAATAGCTGAGGACTTGTCCAGTTAAATACCAACACATAAAAAAAAGTGTACATTCATTCTGGATAGAAACCTAAAATATACAATATATCTGCATATATGATTTTCCTATCTTCTGAATCCGAATATTCCATATATGACTGAACCTTTCACCCTGTGAACACTAATTATTATGTTTGCTGTAATACTGTGATCCCTCGGAACCTCCTGGTGAACAGGGGCCCTCTGCTGCCAGTTGCAGTGTGGTGTTCTGCCTGCTTTGGAAGTTTCCTGTTTCCTCCTTTATTCTTGGTCTGTTATCAGTTAGTTGAGTAGCAAACACCCTTCCTACTAAAGTGCTGCTTGTCATCTGCTGTGGACTTGGAAACCCTAAAAACCTAAGCCTGTAAGGTGTAAAACTAACGTGAATAGTCTATTACCTGGGGTAGAGGGAAAGGACTGGAAGGTTCTCCTACAGGGACACTGTGGCCTTCAGAAGAACTTAATTTTACTTGTTCTGCTCAGTACTGACTCTGCTTGCTTGATTCATGACTAGGTTCCCAACTGGCAAAGTTGCTAGATATGCATGGTTCTGGATACGAGAACGAATTGAGCTGAACTTTCATTGAGCCCCTCATGTGCCAGAAACAGATGATGGTACATAAAGCAGTCACCCCCTTGTCCGAGCGTTCACCTTCTGCAGTTTTAGTTACCCGCACTCAACTGCAATCCAAAAATATTAAATGGAAAATTCCAGAAATAAACAATTCATAAGTTTTAAATTGCTTGCCGTTCTGAGTAGCGTGATGAAATCTTGCTCCATCCTGCCCGGCACAGGAATCATCCCTTTGTCCAGAGATCCATGCTGCATATGCTACCCACACATTAGTCACTTAGAAGCCATATCAGTTATCAGATCAACTATCACGGTATCACAGTGCTTGTGTTCAAATAACCCTTATTTTACTTAATAATGGCCCCAAAGTGCAAGATGCTGCCAATTCGGACATGCCAAAGAGAAGCTGTAAAGTGCTTCTTTTAAGTGAAAAGAACATAACACATACAGGGTTTGGTGTTATCCGTGGTTTCAGGCATCCACGGGGGGTCTTGGAACGTATCCCCCATGGATAAGTGGGGACTACTGCACATGTAGTTTTTAATCATAAATTAAATTTAATCATAATTTGATCAGAAGTTCTCATAATAATTCACACTGGCACCCAAGTAATATTGAACGAGACATCTCTATACTAAAGGTGAAATTCACATAACATAAAATTAACCATTTAGTGGCACTTAGCACATTCATAATGTTGTGCAACCACCACCTCTATCTAGTTCCAAAATATTTTCATCACACCAGAAGGAAATGCCATACCTATTACGCAGTGACTCCCTAGTCCCGCTTTGCTCCAGCCCCGGGCAACCAGCAATCTGCTCTCTGTCTCTATGGATTCACCTATTCTGAATATTTCACATAAATGGAATCATACAATATGTGACCTTTGTATTTGGCTTCTTTCACTTAGCATGATGTTCTCAAGGTTCATGCACCTGGTAGCATGTATCAGCACAGTACTTCATTCCCTTTTATGGCTGAATAGTAGTAGTCCATTGTGTGGATATACCTCATTTCATTTATCCATTCATCTCCTGAGGGACATTTGGGTTGTTTCCACTAAATGTTATTTTTCATTAACTGTTTCTCAGGGGGATATGATCTCTTACACAAAGCATACATATTTAGAAATCTCTCAGAATCTTCATTTTTTTAAAAAAAGAAACCATGTTCCCATTCCTCCAAAACACATACTAAGTGAAATATAGGAATTGTGAAAGCTTAAAGCCCAGAAGTTTACTATTACACGTTTTATGAGTGTTTTAGGTATCAATAAGGATAAGAAGGACTCCTCAGCAAACTTTTTCAATGTGTATCCACAGCTGATCTTATTAAAAATGTTATAGATAAGGCACACAAAAGCAAATGACCAGTAACCAATAAATCACAATATATTTTACATATAAGTGAGACTTAGGACCTGCAGTAGAAAATGCTATGAATATAATTACCAGAGAATCATTACATTTACCTGCAATGGGTGGGCCCACAGTCATGGGTATAGACATGAATCCGAGCAGAAATCCAATTGCTTGGGAGACATCCTGGGTGCCAACTAACTCAAAGGCAATGGGGGCCATAATGGAAATGAAGCATCCATCGAAGAGACCCATGATGAGACAGACAGCAATGAGGGCCCCAAAGACGTCACACAGGGGAATCATCATGGACATCAGACCGATGAGGATAAAGGAGAGTACCTAGGACAGATACCACAATGTTAACTCTGCTCTCAGGAAAGTGAATGTTACCATTACTGAGCAACCTGCTTAGGGCTTTTAAGTGGTTATTAGTCACCTCCCCAGCCCAGTTCGTCTTGATTTTATATACATAATCAACTCTCATAATCATCCCCCCCGAGTTCCCCCAGCACTTTCTCAATATTTCCATTGAAGGACAAGAAGAAAGTAACTATTTTTATATACTTACTTTCCCTTCCAGCCTGTAAGCTCTTTGAGGTCAGAATCTGTACAAAAGTCATTTTTGGACTAAATATTATAAGGTTTAAGGATCTTACATCTGGTCAGTGCTCAATGAATATTTGTTCTTTGAATACCAGCTGAAATTCATTCATCAAACATTTGATTTTTTAATTTTACCTTTGAAATTATATACACTTTATTGGTATTAGTCCTTTGCAAAATGCAAATATGCCAGCAAGATCAGTTCTTCACATCACAGAGCTTCTGGTTCTGGGAATACAGTGATGTAAGTTTTAGATATTTAAATAATCAATTTAAAATATACTGCCTGCTAATATTCCAGACATGATGAGCATATTCAGACCAAGTGAGAGAGATTAAAATAAGTAACCATGATTTGATATGTATTATATAAATATGTATTGAATTTTGATTATTCAAATTCCAATTGTTTTGACTGTCATAGGAAATATGATGCATAATATGCAATGAAAACATTCTACTATAACATCCTAAGAACTAATTTATGTAACCCATTTTTATTACTTTGATAGTATAAATCAATATTATTATCAGAAAATATTTTCAAACACTATGAAAACATTATGTCTTCTGGTGGTATATCACAGATATACCCTATTTAAGCACCCCAGAGTTAAGGTGAGAAATATTTTGAGCCATTGAACCCTTTCACTTTAGTGTTAGAGTAGTTAATAGAATCACACACCTGATTCTGCCTGCCATTTGGTAGCTACTGTGCCACGTGCTACACACTGTGCTATGTGAATAACACCTGGTTCCTACCCTTGGGTTGTGGGAAGATGAGCATGTAAATAAATAAGCACACAAAGTATTCTAGATGTTGCCAGAGTTGTATATTCAAAGTATGATGGGTATAAAAAAAGAAGGAGCAGACAACTCAATAACTTTTTTAGGTAAAGAACTAATTAAAACTGGACAATTCACTAGTCAGCAGAAGAAATGTTTTAAAGCATCAGGTTTTTGAAAAGTATGCATACAACAGCAACTATCATTTATATAGTGTTTATTAAATGTGAGACACTGTTCTAAGCACTTTAGATGGTGATCCTAATAACAACTTTTTGAGGTGGATACTAATGTTATCCCCATTATACAAATGAAGATAGTGATGCTGGGAGAGGTTTAGTAACGCGCCCAAAGCACAGCTGGAGCCAGCCTGGAAGCCATGGTCTGTGTGGGCAGTAGCAGGGAGCAGATGGAACTGTTCCTTGAGGGTCTGCTCCAATGACAATGGGGCTGGGGAGGAAGAGAGACCACATAAAACAGCATCTGGATCACCATCTTCATCTGTTCTGTTTGTCCTAGGACCCACTAGGTGCACCTATGGCATACCAAGCTTTGCAGCACGCCTCAGGGCAGCCCCTCACAACCTTAGTGTGCATCAGGATCACCAAGGAGCTCCTGAAGCGGCAGAGTGTGAGTGCGGGGATCCAGGAATGGCGGTTTTCACAAGCTCCCCAGGTGACTTTAACACAGGTGGTCCACTGACCCCGCAATAAGAAACATGCTCTTGAAAAAGTTTTCAAACTCCAGGTTAGGTCTCTTTGTGACACTATCATACCATATAGCCAAGTAAGTTTTTCTTCTTCATTACTAAAATATGGCTTTATGGTAAAATTATAATTAGTTTAAGACTCTGAGTTGACTATTTGAAAAATAAGTCTGATACTTCATATTTTCTTTTTTTTTTTTTTTTTTTTTTTAAGATTTTATTTATTTATTTTTTCCCTCCAAAGCCCCAGTAGATTGTTGTATGTCATAGCTGCACATCCTTCTAGTTCCTGTATGTGGGACGCGG